TTTCAAGTCCAGGTGAAATTGTCATGTAGTGGCCTTGACGTTGTAGGTACACAGCTCTGCCACCAGCCATGCTGTCATGCTACTCAATGATGATTGACTGCTGGCTCATGATCATCACTCCTGAAATGCAGCATTTCCCTGGTTTCAAAGGCATGTGTTATACTTGTTTTGTGGAAAATTCATTGACAAAGGAAATAGAATAATATTGAAAACCATCCACCGTACTCTATACTGTAGATCAAGTACCAAATGGAGAAATACTGCAGATTAAATAAATGCACGTATTTAATGCTTTATTTTAATTGCAGCAATGGAAATCTGCATTTCATACAAATACATTTTCAATTTCAAAAGCTTACTTGTGCATTTGCATTATGAAAATATACAGCCTGCACGCTGTTTATACTAGGGAGCAGCAGTAACCAAATGTGATCAGTGATGTGGATCCAGCAATAATCACAAAACAAAACACCACATGTGAAAGACAAACAGCACAGAGGCGACAACAGTGCATCACAAAATGAAAAGTCTGCACATGCGTTCACTCGTGCTGACAAGATTTCAATTTACAACCACTACAACTTTGGACTTACTTTACCAGACTATTGTCTGTAACTTTCAGCAATAAGTGCACACAGCCAAGTACAAATGTTTGGCCTTATTTTCCAAACATTTATCTGGAAACCTTTCATTATTCCTGTTTTGACACTAAAACTATTTTATGAAAATACATTTTTTTTGCTTTTGAATATAGTATAATGACATCACTTTCCTAAAACACTTTTTGTCTTCAAGTGTATGTCAATCTTTCTAATTTAGGCACCAGGTGTCTTCAGTGCCCCAATATACACACACACACTCGGGCATGCACCCAGACATCCCTGCTCTGCAAAGATAATATATTTTTGTTTTCTTCCTCTTGTTTTGTGGCAGTGCTATATTGTCCTGAGGACTAACTACTCTTTCAGTGACCACTCTAACGCTTGTTGTATCAACACAGGGCTGTGAGACACTTACAAGGAGAAAAGCTACAGATATAATATAATCTAGGGAGAAAAATAGATAAACATACTCTTCAGGGTAAGGCATTTTTGAGTTGAAGGCCTTGCTTTGACTCCAGCTGGGCCTCTTTTTATCTCATCCTGTGTCTCCCAGACACTATTAACTTCTTTGTCTGTCTGCATCTCCCTCAGCACCGCCAGTGGGTAAATACAAATGAAAAGCACGTCCTGTGGAGAGCACCAGCCCCACATATTAAAAACAGATGTTTTTTTCCCCACTGTCCCTGAACACCCCCGACATTCAACACACACAGTACACTCATATTCATACTGTCATATAGGGGACTCACATTCATCACCATCAAGTTTCTTAAAATACAAAGACTTCTTGTTGTCTTTTTAACATCAACATTTTACTCCAATCTCCTTTTGTGCCATCCTGTGTCTTATTCCTGTCCTTTTATGAATAAAAAGGCCAAGAAATGGAACGCAGCAGACACACATTAATTTAAGTCATTGAAGTGAAGACTGCTTGCTTTTCTCCTTTTCAGAAAATATAGCTTACTCGGGGAGGTGAAAGAAGGAGAAACTAGGAGTGTTTTGGTCCATAACATGACTCCTATTATCAGGTCTGGAAGTTCATGCGACTCATGCTCCAGGGGTTCCAGACTGCTGACCAATCAGAGGGTCTCCACTCTCAATGCGCACCTCCTGGGCTGGAGTGGTGTCTTGCTCTGCTGTGATCACAATGGTGTTCTCATCCACAAGCTCGCAAGTGGGGTTGGAAAAGGCAGAGAGGGGCAACGTAATCCTTTGCATCTCCCTCTCATGTACTCTCTGGTCATGCTGCTTCTTCAGGTCCCGCCCCCTTAAAACAAATGACAAGCATTCAAAATTCAGCCATTTAAGTGAATATTTTTTAACAAAACTGGTGTTTCAAAGGTAGGATATGTAGGTAATTAAGAGAAAAATATATGAAGTCATGAAAACAGAATCTCCATGGTATTTAAATGGACCCATGGCGTGTGAAACACCTGCCGGTGTATTGTCTTTTAGTTTCTGGACATTCATCCAAAAATGTGTTCAACATTCATGACATTTTAAAGGTAATATTGTAAGTAATATTACAAATGTATATTTGCAAAGTATAACTAATGTCATTTTAAAATGTTACATTGCAATTTTGACTATGTTTGTTTTAATGACTTCCAATTTACTTCTGAGGCTTCACTTTCTGTTTTTTTTGTTTTTGAATTATTGAATTATTGAATTGAATTACTTCCTTTAAATAATCGATATTCCATTTTATTTTTGTTTTCAGTAGGTGTTAACACTTGATGTCGTCTCTGCCAACTCCTAGGGAAATACATCATTGGGTATTTTAGCGTAGGTGTGGTTATAATACTCACCACTCGCTTTGTCATTTGAATCTGATTAGTAGGCTATATCTGTTATTTTACTGAAAATGGTCATGACGACAAATATATTACAAAAAAACAACTGTCATTTATGTTGTTCTGTTTTTAGTTTGTCACCCAGATATAAAAAAAAAGATATCCTGACAATACGCTGTATTTGCGTAAGAGAGTCTCTGTCTGCTCTGTTGGCTTCGTGACCTAGTGGGAGTGCAGATGGTTGCGAAGGAACAGGACAGTGACAATCTGTCGGAGAATTAATCTCCTCCAAGGCTACAGTGATGAGAAGCAGTGTGAGGCCACTTTCTACTGATCTGTGGCCAAAACAGATTCATGTCCTGAAAACACCTCCTCATACCAGCCTGCTGCATGGTGTGACGACAATGAGCGTTATTAGTTTTAATATATATATATATATATATACGTATATATATATATATCCACATGTATATACATACATATATGGTCCGTGTCTAGTATGTAATTACAATGTGCACCTAGCGGTCACTGTATTGGGAACAGTGAATGGCAACAATCCAAGGGTTTTTGCTTTGGAGCCACCGTCAGAAAACCTGTCGAGGTTCATATCCAGGAAAAGCAATTCAAGTTGTTTCTCCAATTAAAGAGAATTAACAGGAAAATATCCAGTCAGCCGATGACCACAGAACCCAAAAATACTTCTTACAAGCAGGAAGTTTACAACATTAGACGACTACAGTCGAAGCCACTATCAGCTGACAATGGAAAACAATGGCTACATTTTGTAAGGGCTCATCAACATTTGTCAACAGGCAACTGGAAAAACAAAGCCTGGTCTCAGGGGCCTCAACTTCTTCAACATTTGGACTGCAGGGTTTATCGTATTAATGGTCTATTCCCATGGTTCTCAAACTGTGGTACGGTATGTGAGCGCTCTCCAGTGGTACAATCTGAAACATACCATGCACAATTAATACATAATTTAGAAAAAATGTGTAGCTACTTGTGAGATTATGAAATATGATGTCTGGTCTTTTATATATTTGCTTGTTTTTTGCACGGAATCATGGGATCACTTGCAAGTTGAATGTGGGACGAGCAGGGGAATTCCGATGTTGGTCATTATGGTGGTATTCAGAGAGCTCAATGTTTTCTCATGTGGTACAGAGTACAAAACGTTTGAGAACCACTGGTCTATTCTGAAATCAAGAGGTCCAGAAATGCTACCAAAATCTACCTTATGAAATGGCATGTATTGTAATAGTTCAACTAAAAAGCTGTTAATGAACTGAATGATTTATATCTGTGGTTGGACTTCTCCTTGAGATGGTTCCTGGAGATGGCATTATTTTATCAGTGCTTCTTCTCTGCGAACTGCACACAAACAGGGAGGAAAGTGACTGATAATGCTCTGTGGCTAAGACTCCCAACAGAATCGGGTCGGGGAGCAGCACATGTGCAGTGTCAGATTACTGAGAGTGATGCCAGTCTGCTGAGGCCAGGTATAAACACCCTGATATAACATACTGCTGCACTCTCTTATTTAGAAATAAAACTGGAGGAGACGGCTAATCAGAAGTGACAGCGTAGCCCAGATTTACGAGGTCCTGTTTCACAACACCAGCCTCAAGGGTGTTTATCAACTGTTCCTCCACCTCAAATTCTTCTGGTTTTGAGAAATCCAAATGCACCTAAAATAGAATAGATGTCTATATTTGTTGCCACGTTGTTCCATTCCTTCTGCTGTGACTGCACATGAAAGCTTTAAAATGGCAGTGAAACAACCGAGTGGAAAAACAACAGCAGCAGCATTGTTGTAGAATATGAACAACAGCTGAAGCCTGGAACTGAAGAGACTCTAAATGTCCGTGCTATTGTGGAATTTAAATAAACACACCGACGACTGTTCTGCTCTGAGCTTTGTGTTGTAAATACGTGGAATTTCACTTAATTTGGCTGAAAGCTTTTTTTTTTTTTTTTCCAAATTTCTTTTGCTCGTTAAAGCATGAAAGGCAGAACAATTAAATACTCTTCTGCTAGGTGGCAGCAAATGGCTATGAAAATTATAAAAAGGAAAAAGAAAGATAATCAGAGCTGTTGAAGATCTTTGTGAGTCTCTCTCTTCAATTCCTGCCAATATATCAGCGTTGTCTTCAACTAAACAGGGCAAGATTTTAGTCAATTATGAGTTCATTATAATAAAAGATTATTATATTAAATATACTTTTTGTGAGATTTTTCTTTGGTGGTGTGCTGTGGGGGATTTCCTGATGATTTATATGTCGTAGCTCAAAAAATGTTGGGAAACATTGATTTACGGTGTGTTAGTCACTGACCTCTTGTAGAAGTAGCCCAGTGTGATGCCAACTCCAAGAATGATGATGACTGCTATCATGAGTATGCCTAACACATAGCCTGAATACAATTTAAAAAATAAAAACGTTTGTTAAGAAAATAAAGGCAAATTCTCTGTCAACTCGTACAGAATGAGTCAGTGAGTGTACTAGTCACAGTAGCCGCTGGCACTTCCTGCAGAATTACAACATACCCAGTGTGCCAAGGTCCTTTTTCTTTTTGGATCCTGTTTGCACTCGTTGGCTGATTCCCACCACAGGCTGCAATGCAGCAACCTCTCCCTGAGACCCTCCTGAGTGGGCTGATTGGAAACTCTCTGTCGAAGGACTGGATACTGATGGGTTGAGGGCTTCGCCTTCTGCAGGCACAGCAGAGGCTTCTTCTAAACAAGTAAGCAAACACAGGGGTGAGAAATCCTTATGTGCAGGTCACTTATATGTATTTTTTTTTATCTATTTAGATCAGGTTTACATTCTAGTCTGAGTTCTATTCAAGAACTACACCATAATGTTAGAAATATCTTTAAGATTTGCAACAAACAGCAAGGATTCAGCAATATAACAGACACAATATGACAATCAAGTCAGTGGTAAACTTGTGTAGTAAACAAAGAGCTCTTTTCTTGTGCATGCACAAAACTGCCTGAGTGCATGAGCTTATCATAGCAAAATGTTTTTGATGATTTGGTAAATGTCTTTTCTAAGGACCAACTACATAGCAGGTTCCTAATGTAGAGGCCAGAGAGGGTGTAATATTTCACCACTCAATATCTACTAATACTACAATCATCAAATTACAAAGTTTCCACTACCATACTACCCCACAGGGACAGAGAGGACTGGTCTTACCCTGAAATAAAATATCTTTGGAAATACACGAGTTCCATTTCATATCTGCACAGTACGTTTAAGCAGCAGCACAGAATGTGTACCACAACTCATCTTCTTTCAAACTTCACAAGAAGTGCATTATTTAAACAGCATGGACTGATGTAGAGGCAGCAGCCACAGGATAAAAGCCATGACGCTGCTCTCATTCAGTCACAGGACCGTAAATCATTTGAGGTATAGATTTGGTTGAATGTTTGTATTCAGATGACTTTTTCTTTTCTTTTTTTAACAGAGACAGGATGGTTCACTGCGTTCTTTAACTTTTTTCCTCACTTCCTTTATACAGGTTGTTGTTCACACATCTGCTGGTGTCTGCTGATGTCATGAGTCATAACGTCCAGCAGCCAATCATCGCTGTTTCTATGGGGAAGACTACTGCTCTCTGCCAATGAGCTCTTCAGGGTGTGGTCTTTTTAGGAGAGCCAACTTTCTAACATGTGACCGCAAGGCTTTCTTGTTGTCAGACTTGCGGTGGTTTAAAGAGAAAAACTCAAGTCTGAGTAAACAAGACGTCCCTGAGCTATTTAACTCTGACCCAGGAGGCTACAAAGAATATGATTCTTAAATTAATTTTTCAGTTGTTTTTTTTTCCTTGTTGCCTCATACAAAGTTTATGTGTGGTCAAAACTATGAGGAAAGATGCTTTAAACTTTTTGATTGGACTGTTAAAAGTTGAAACTTGGCAGCATCCTGTCATCTGTATCAGCTATTTGTGCAAATTTAATTAGGTCATTTGAACGGCTACAAAAAACAACAATCAGCTCATTATTGTTCCAAGTATAAACCACTTCAGTCCTCATGCGAAAACAGACCATTTTAGCATCAACAAACAAGGTCTGAAAACACGACCTGAAACCAAATCTGATTATTATTCTCTCCATAATTCAGAGCAGGTGTGTCCAATATGTAGGGGGCAATCTACCAGTAGTCCAACATATAATATATATATAAAATATATTCAATTAATATGATGTTTTTTTCCACAGTTACCAACCTTTACATGCTTGAATGTCACAGAACTGTCTATGGACCACATCAGCCGGGCCAGTAATGTAGCACCAGGGCCTCCGAGAGGAATCTGGATTTCTGCAGTAATTGTGATCTCCAACACCTACAAGAGGAATGGAAATGAAAGACATCACGCTAGTTTCCAAGAGAGTCTCTGTGTGACTGTGTGTATCTGGGAATAAAGCAGTAGATCCATTAATCATTAATTTGACTACATCACAGCACAATGAACAGACTACCAGGAGCACAAAGGATAAAAACATCTGCTGCATAAAAGAGGCCTGTGCAGGCTGGATTTATCTTTTACAGTAATGAAAAGTTCACACTACCCCCCCACCCACACACACACATACATATCTGTAATAGTTTCTAAATGAAAGGTAAACAAGGAGGTCTTTGTTTTACCTGTCTC